TTTAGATATCATGTTCATGAAAAATTACAAAATTTCATGGTACCAATTCCAAGTAGTACTTGGCATGAAGACATGATTGATGAATTATGCGCTTCTTATTTGGGTAAAAAATATGAAGAAGGTTCAGATTTAAGTGAAAATGAATCGGATCAAAAACAGAACAAAAAGGAGAAAATAATACAATTGAAATTAGTTTGAATGGTTTGAGAATCTTTGAATCACAGAGTTTCAATTCTGCCATCATAATAAAATTAGTATTTGATTCGTTAATTATCCCAATGCCAAAAAAAAAAAAATTTTCTTATGCAAATTGTTATTAATATATTTCAATTAATACAAGTTTATAGTTGACTTTATAATTATTTTAATTTTGAGGTGGCTTGAGCTTATATATAGAACAACTTTTTGCAATCATCATATAAAAAATTAGGCTATAAAACAAGAAATTTCATTATTCCACAATTTTATTTATTTTTTTTAAATAATATAATAGTTAATATAAAATAATAATATATAATCACGAGAAATATATTTGTGTAACTTCAGACAAAAAATGTATGACTAGCCGGAAATCCGATTTACGTTCACGGCCTCCCGCATGACAACACAGTAATTATTTGCTTCATTTTGAATCTGTCTTGTCATTGATGAAATTGAAACAGCAAAACCTTTGATCATTCTTCTTCCATATGTAATACAACGGTTTAAATTTGTAATAATTGTCTCAATAGATTCAATTTCTCTTTCCCAATAACTTTCACAATAAGTTATGATCTTATTGATCTCTATAAGACATTTACTCATTTCAGATAGACATTGTGATAGCTCTTCTCTAACTTCCTTCGATAAGTATTTTAGAAAGTCACTGTGAACTGAATATACTTTAGCAATACGATCATGGCCCGTGGAAACGACTTCACTGTAATATCAAAGATTTGGGTTTGTTAATGTAGAAGTATGAATATCTAACCATAAACAAATTTAATAAAAAAAATATACTTAAAAAATTACCCGCCAAAATATGCTGCTGCACCAAAACCAACGATAGCTTCTGCTGCCAAAGATGCTCCACCCGTGAATGGAGCAGCTGCCAACGCAACTGCAGCACCAACTGTGGAAATTCCTTTATAAAACTTAGCATTTGACTTTGCGTCATTTTCTATTTCATCAACTTCTTCAATCTTTTCATGTAATTCTTCCCTACGTTTCGTAATTTCATCATCATATTTAACAATGTCAGAAGACATTTTTTCTAAACATTGTTTAATTTCGACGAGTAATTTTTTAAGTAATTCAGAATTGACCTTACTTAACCTAGCATTACTCAAAACTGGATATAAAAATTCCAACAGTTCCTCTTTACTGATACCATCATCATCACAGAATTCAGCAAATAGAATAATGTCTCTAGAATGAGAACTAATTTTGAAACACTGAGTTATTGATTTTTCGGCAAAATCTAGAAATTTATTCCTCTGCTCAGAAATTATATTAAGTTTCGCTTGAACAAATTCATTTTGTTCAACTCTAAGTCGTTGAATTTTAGAAAAATGGTTAATAGATTGAATAATTTTATGTTGCAATTCAGTTAGGTTAAGCGTGTTAGGCGTGTCAGCAGCAATTAAAACCTGAGTCGCCATTTTAATTTGCGTTAAAAATAAAGAAAATGTAAACCTTTTTTACAAGTTTGAAAAGAAAAAAAGAGGGTAACACAAAAACTATAAAGAAATTAATTTATAAAGGGCGGATTACGGCATTTCTTAAGGTCAGTTGTAGAAGTTTCCTGCGCCATCTCTCAAAAAAAAAAAGAAACAAAGTTAAGAAAGTTAAGATCACTCCAATTATTGTATTCGATTTCATTATTATTTTCTCTTACTGCAACTTTATTCAAGATAACAAAGACTATGATGACTTGTTTAGTCCATCTTATGAATTTCAGTTATTATAAAGTTCATGAACCTGTTAATGTATATGTATGCATATGATTTTTTAATACAAATGTTAAAAAGTTCCATAGGATCAGTTCCTAAATAGTTTTATGTTATCAAATCTAGTTCAAAGTTCTTTAAACTAAATTGGAACTTGTGGTCCTAGAACTATCAATATTAAAAATTTCTAAATGAATTGATTAAAAAAGTATGATATAATTATTTATTTTAAATATTAAAGTGTTATCCAAATAAATGTTAATTTCAAATAAACATGATATGATCATTTATCTAGAATAATAAAGATTATTTTTTCTTATATTGTTATCTTATAATACTAATGATTGAAAAATTAGTATTTATGCAAGTTTAACAAAGAATTTAACATTAATCAATATTTTAGAAAGAGCTTTAAAGTATGTTATTTTCAAATAGACATGATATAATCATTTATCTAGAATGATAAAGATTAGCTTTTCTTATATTATTATCTTATGATACTATAATAGGATTATCGTAATATAATTAATCTACATAATGCAACATGAATAGTTATATAAGTGATATAGTTAATATGATTAATATAGTAGATATACTTAATATATATAATGCAGAAAATTGCAAATTGACATGTTTGATATATCTGACATATTTGTTATAATTGATATATCTAATATATTTGATATAACTATTATATCTAAAGATGGTATTGCAACTAGTTATAATTAAGTAATGCTTATTTATTACTGATTGCAACTAATTATAATTTAATTTGTTAATGTCGCAATTAGTTGCAACCCTGTGATACTTATTTATCACCAATTGTAACTAGTTACAATGCCATTTTTAATCATATCTGATATATCTGACATGCCTAACAAACTGACATAACTGACATGTCTAACATATATTATATATTATATTTATATTAAAGTATATAAAGAAGACTAAATTCATAATAGAATAATTATAATAATAGAAAAATATTAATCTAAAAGATTAACTGACATAACGTGATACATGTGATCAAAAATTATATTAACTGCATCATTAAAGATAAATATCATAATTAAAATGTTGTAACATTATATAAATTCTTTAATAATTATAACATGTGTTATAATTTAAAAAATATTGCAATTTAAAATATAAGTTATAATTAGCTATAACTTGAAATATAATTAATTACAAATTTTTAAGAAATAATTTTAAATATTAATTATAAATAATAATTATAAATTTTAAATAATATATAGTGCATTTTATAAGAAAAATCTTTAATGAAAGACAAAAGTAAAATAACCTTTATTTAGTTGAAAGAAATTTTATTCTGAAAGGATATAATGTATAACAAAAATGCTGCATATTGTTATATATCAATTAACATGACTGCTTTCCTTTATGTGCAAAGAACTTGTTTTTCTCTTATAACCCAAATTTGAAAAAAAGGTTGCATGCGGATTAGAATGGTCAAAAAAATTTTTAGATAAGTTAGTAATCTTGATCAATTCTTACTAAAATCTTGAATTTTGATATATAATTTTTTTCATTTTTCAATACAATAAGTGGATTCCAAAAATGGACATGAAGAAATTAAAAATATGTATTTACATGTGACATAGTCTAAACATTTGTCTTGGCATAAAATGCTTTGTCTTTTTAAATAAGAGTAAGTGAAGGGGTTTATTTATCATCAAGATTCTCAAAACTAAATAAGAAAGAATTAGCTTATTTTTTTTGTGGTTATGAACAGTATATGAGAGATTTTTTTTGTTCAACACACTACTTCTTTGTCTTCATAATACGATATGTTACGTGATAGATTTTTTTTTAAAAAAAAGGGTTGTCCAGTCTGTGATAAAATGAGGGCAGGAAAATCTAGAGAATTTATATGAAAAGGAATAAGTCAGCTCTGATTAATTATTATAATAAATATATATAGTGTGTTACAAAATTTTTTAGATAAATTGATTTACTTATTATGCAGCAACAAATTATTCAAATCACAAACTAGTTTATTTAATCGATTAAAAGTACAAAATTATATTTTTAAAAGTTAATAAGAAATTCTTTTCCCAATTTTTTTTTATTATAAGTTCAATATCATTCTCTTATAGAACATACTAAATTAATAAAAATCACATTTAGAATATTATTCCATTCTTCTATCTTAAATTGTTCTAATTCTGCTAAATTTTTTGGTTGTTATTTTTCTACATTTTCTTTTACGATACTTCACAAGTTTTTTACAGAATTGAGATCCAGTTTTTTTAAGTTTATTGATATTATAATAAATCGTAGACCTTGAAATATTTGTTTTTTTTTGAATTACACTTACACTTATAATTCCTTTATCCCAAAAATGTTTTACAACTTTATGTATAAATTATATGACTTAATTATATTTTGACCACCTATCGTTAGAAAAAATAAATTAATTCAGCAACAAAAAATTAAAAATGTCTTTATATTTATATATCATCTCGCAAAATCACGTGTGGTTTGTGTATAAATTGATTTTGCTATACTAACTTTATTCAGACAATCAAATGTCTAGACTTTTGTAACATACTGTATATTATTTATTTATTTTTTTATGACTCTGATCTGAAGTTTGATCAGAGTAAATTCTAATAGAAGAATGCGTTAGTTCTTGTTTTTTATTTAAAAATACTAACTTTTTTTTTTAAAAAATAAAAATAGAATTACCTTGTGAAATGAACCTAAACCTTAAAATTCTGAAATCAAATCAGAGGTAAGTTTTAAAGAATAATTTGTTAATAAATTTTTTTTATTATTTAAAAAGGCTAATAATATTAATATTAATAATATACTACTTACCTTTGTAGACCAATCCAGATCCTGAAAACATTGACGGAGGTAAGCTTTAACAGAATTTTTGTTAATATTTTTTTTTTAATTTTTTAAAAAAACTTATATTCACTTACCGATCTGAAATCTATAAACCTTGAAATTTTGGATCAAAGGTAAGTCTCTATTGGAAAAATTTATTAGTTTCTTTTTTTATAATATTAAAAAAACTAATACTAAGCTTACCTTTATAGGATAGTCTGGATCTTTGAAGTCTAGATTAGAATCAATCGGAAGTAAGTTATAATGGAGAATTTTTGTTAATAATAAAAATCAATTAATATTAAACTTACCTTTATAGACCGATCTAGTTTCTCCTTTTTCACGTCTTCTCCTACTACTATTTCAGGTTTGTCTTCCTCATTTCTATCAATTATGATATAACCTTTAGTTTTATCATTAGTTTTAATTTAACTTTACGCGATGTGCCCTATCTTCATAGATTCAATATCACCAGGTATAATATCTGAATCCTTAAGGCATTGAGTTAAAGGTAAGCTCTAACAAAATTTTTTTTTTAATTTTTTTTAAAAATAAAAACTAATATTTATTTACCTTCACAAACCAA